AGAGAGAGAGAGAGAGATGACAGGGAGAGAGATTATCTTTGGGGTAAAGCTACACGGTGGACAGCATTGTGCCAGAGGCCACCTCTCGACAAAGCTCCTTTCTGTTCCTCAGGCCACGGTCTGGCTCCCCTGAGAAAACACAGGGCCACCAAACTCTCCTCCGTCTTTGTCTCACTCTCTCCTACACCCCTTTCCTGTCTAGCATCACAAAGGTCACCCTGCTGGCTTTTGGACAAGAGTGTTTCTTCACTGTGTTGTCTGAAGGAGCTTGTATGAGGCAACCACAGCATCAGACCATATCTTGGCAGAGTAGGGGCCGAGGGGGTTGCAGGTGCTGACGTAGCTTTCCCCAAAAATTATGCTTGTTCAGTTTCTTTACTAGCACTCAAAAGTAGAAGTACAGCTCATGGGGCGTCCTGGTGGTCTAGGGGTTGACCAACTTCTGTGGTTCAAGCTTGATTTGTTGCATGTTGTCCCCTATATATTTGCCCTTATTTCCTGTGAACTCATTGTTGTCGCTCATGTTCAATAAAGAAAACACAAAAAACACTACACTCACAATGTGGAGTAGAATATTTCCATTTTGTCCCTATATTAAGAATAGCATAGTTTAACACTTACCATTTCAAACCACTGATGATTAAAAAAAATGCACAACAGTATTAAGTGGAAATCAATGATAGTATTAGGGTTATGTGGCTTTACATGGTCTAACAAGAGAGAGCTTCCTCTACTTTTTTCTTTCTAAACTAGAAAAACACAAGGCAAGCAAGTCAAGGCTTTCTTTTCAGAGTAATTAATGATGAATAGCATGATCTAAGCAACCCAGGATGAGTAATGTCTTATGAATTTCCAGATAAGTGAGCCTGCCTCCACCTCTTAACATCACTCAGTTACAACACACTTGCTTAGTCTTTTAGCAAGTCTTTGGCCCTACATTCTTCAAACATCCAGCAGATGGCATTGTCTCCCAGTTAATCAGAGGGAGTCCTCTGTAAATGAAACAGCATATGTCACAGTCCTTTAATCCAGTGATACACAGAAGAAAAATAGGTTTTAAATTATTGCTGTGGATTATGAAAAGGACAAAGGCGGCATCCAATGCCCACTAACCTTAATGCAAAGGTCTCAGAACATGTGCATAAATGAGCTCTTTTGGCACTGTAGCAAAAGTGTAACGTTTTACTAACAACCCAAAGGTTA